AAGGCTCACATTGATTTCTGCGGTTATTTCATCCAGTGTTGCTTGTGTGTTTGCACCCACAACTCTACGCAAACACCGCTGCTCTCGATCATTAAATGAAGGCCTTCGGCCTCTGCGTTGTCCGTGCTGAGAGGTTATACCTGAAATACTCGGCACACTATTGACACTTTATATATCTGAAAATCTAATTCCCGAGCGATTTCCGAAATGACCCATGCGTCTAGTTTCAAATACCATTCGGTGTTCAAAGTCTAGTAATTCCCGTCGTGCAGCCATACTTACGTCAGACGCCTTTTCACGTGAATAACTTGTGTTCAAATGCAATCTCTCCCAATATACTGGTCATTTATACTTTTTGTACACGACACTTCTGCCATCTGTATATTTACATATTGCTATCCCATGGCTCTTGCCACCTCAGTGTATGTCAGACAAATGTAGGAGTAATGAAACAATAATTTTGCAACACACAAGTACGCCAAATCCATTCCTTGTGCTGGAAATTCTTTGAATCTGGTAGATCGAGCTGCCGTTGATTTGTGCTAAGAAGCTGTCGATTTCTTTGCTCAACAAATATGTTTTCTATTCTGCTTCCACAAAACGATGGTCTTCATTAAAAACGCCTGGGTTCAGAGACTGTGATGTCAGAAATGCTATCTAATAGCCCATTCAAAAGCTACTTCTGCAATTTTTCAAAATTGTGAATATATTTAATTTGTTTTATTTCACCTTCAAGATTCACAAATATCAAATGGCGATACAAAGAGAGAAGGAAAATAATACTTTAAGATAAAATGGAAGAAATTTAATTTGTCTTCGAGCTGTCATGTATCCCAATGCAACTGAAGCCAAATTGGACTAGTTTCATCCAGCAGATCCTGTGAATGGCGATGTTGGTCAAACCATCTATATCCTTAGGAGCAATTTTCATGTTAGGGTACTTTCTAATTCACAATGCACATGCCTTATTGTAGACATTTTTTAAAGGTTAAATGAAGGTCCTGCCTGTAGATTGGAATTTGAGAGACGTATGGGGGTGGGGGATATGCTTAGCATGTGAATATGATGTTCCTTGACATAAAGGAGCACGTCAAGATCCTTGTGACTTGGATGGTCACACAAGATTAACAAGTCGGGATTTTTCTCATTCGAATTTACCTGATCAACTAAATTGTGGAACTCTTTTGAAAGGCCTCCTTCGTGATCCATCCACTATTTTATCAAAAATACTTCTTAAAGGAGCATATTTAGGGAAACACGAGTGGAAAACGAACTATGGAGGGATGAACTGGTCACCTGTTGCATTTAATGCCAGAAGAATGATTACGTTTCCTCCTATCTCCCCAGAGGTCAGCTTCTCAACCTGTTTTTAGTCCCTTCCCAACATTTGTTTTGTGTCCAATATCACACTAACGACCCTCAACCTTAGTAATTCATCACAGATATAAATTGCACAAACGATCTTGTAGCACTGCAAAGTAAACAAATACACCTTTGTAAACATAGAAGTCACATTAGAAGATGTATAAACTTACCCTAAGAGAAGTTTCAAAGTTATCTTCGTACACTGAAAAACACGTACAAAAAGACGTAACTCGTGTCGCACTAACTAAACTGCTTGATGCCTGATACCGTGTTTACACAGCTAATTTGTTTCCAGGAACTCACTGATAGCGTGACACCTGCTGCCACCAGTGTCCAGTGCTCTAAACTACTTTTGTCCGATACATCCGACATTCCCCTATGCTGATATCTCTCAGTTTTCATTCCTTTCGGAAATGGAAAAGGCAAAAAAAAAAAAAAAAAAAAAAAAAAAAAAAAAAAAAAAAAAAAAATGCAAAATTTAAATTATTTTGCCGATATTTAAATCAGAATTATTCGGGAAAGCGGGCTATGTCATTTCAAAAAGCACGAAACATAATGAACGATAAAGTAGTTTCGATATTTTCCAACATTGAGGTTGCCTTTCGATTTATTAAAGTTTATAATGACAAATATCATGTAGTAAACTTAAAAAAGATTAAAAACTAGTAACAAACCACAATGGGACAAGACAAACTCAACTCACTAATAATAGTAATCTTTAGTGAAAATAATAAGTTCCGAGGTTTATTTTTCGACGACACGATTTCTGATTTTGTGAACAAAAGATCGCGAAAACGCATTTTTAGTAATTTTGTTTCTATTAACGATTAATAAAGTATTGATTTAATATTCCAGCTAGTTTGACATGTAGATTAATCATATTGGACGATTATCATAATTTTTTATCAATTTTTAAATTTAAAATTTGAATAAAATTATTTGAAGGCTTGTTTTAATGGTTTAATTAATTTCGAATAAAAAGATTAAACTATCTATCTCCAAAAAAGTTATTGTTGACAGTAAAACGGGATGGGACTCAGAAATATTTTGGCTTAGTGACACGAAAATGGTAAATCAGACGCTGTTTCGAACCTACACCACCTAGCTGGTGATGATTGTACAATCTAGATGATGTTCGAACCCTCAATCACTGTCTACGAACTCGGGCTCACCTGGCCCAAGGCCCGTGCCGAAACACTACTGCCGTATATGGAAGTATACTGTGAATGTGTTACGGTTAAGTAATACATCAACAGTTGGATACAACCACTAATGATATGATAAACTACTACGGTAAAACTTTTTAAATCTTTTTTATGCATATGCGACCCATAATGAGCTTTGCAAAACTGAATCTAGGTATATCATCTCTCTGGCTGACATCATTCGTATCCATAGCAACAATGCGAAGTAACATTTTAATTGTTTCGTTATATTACAACAACGTTCTCTTCACCTTTACTGGCGTCGAACGTGGAGTGATCCTCCGTTTAGTTAGTTGTGTCATCGTCAGTGTCTTTTATCCGTTCGGCCAGGGGTTCGCCGGTCACCCAACTAGGAACCCGCAGTGTCTCCAATTATTTAACTTCTATGACGTCACGGAGCGAAATGCACTTATGCTACCTGCGCCAGCATTTGCATACAGACTTCAACATTGAAACTTAACATTTTTTTGTAAAATTGTGGAACTCTGGGGAAATGTTATATAATCTATTGTAAACATTATGTTGTACATCAGTTAACACAATGTTTTAGTGTACTTAATGCAATATTTATGAGGAATATTTATTTTGTGTTTTATCACAAAGTGACAAAAGAGAACATTTTTTTCAATTTTCTGAGTTTCTGGTCCCCTAAAACAATAACTGAAATATGACTTAAAAATTTTACACAATAGTAAAATTTGTTTTTATATGCATATTTTCACTGAAAAATCTGAAGCAGCTTTTGAGAAAATGAGCAATTTTGAGCTCATTTTCTCAGAAAATGTTTGTTATTGGTAAACTTCATAAGAAATCATTTGAAGCATTTTTACTCAAAGGGAAACAAAAAATTAAAAAAAAAACACTTATAATGTTAATATTAACAACATGAAGGATATTTCAAAAAAATTTATTTGTGAGAAAATCAAAAATGTTCATCACTGTTTTTTTGTTTCGCTCTATTTGTACAAAAAGTTGAAAGAAAAGCTTGAAGCTCTTCTTTTAGAAAATCTTGTGTATGTATTTCCCCTTCTCCATTTTTCACTCAACGTTATGAGAAAATTATTCATTTTCAAAAAATGAACGTGACAGTAATTAAAGAATAATTATAAAAAACAAATTTCATTTGAAAAATCTCTATCTTCAATAATGTTGAAGGTTCCAAAAAATTGTTTAACTTTTGTAATTTTCAAAAAATCTGAGGATTCAATATTAAATCAGATCTGTGCCACCTTTACAGGAGATTTTAACACAAAATTGGAGCAATTTTTGATAAAATTTTGAAATTGCTCCAAGGAAACCACCCCCCAAATTCAAAGAATTCGTTTCCAATTTGCAGGGCTCCAAGTACGAGCAGATCAATCAGGGAAATTTCATTTTCAACAAAATCTTTGGATGGTTTAGGTACTACAGCTGTCCATGGATGAACAGACAAACGTTTTGAGAAAAACAGTTTTTTTGTGTCAGGGTATTAAAAATCAGGATTTGGATTTTCCACAATATTGCACAACTTTCTCTATACATTACTTCTTACATATGAAGTATCTTAAGTAGTGTTTATTTATGTACATTATATGAGAAAGTGAAAACAAATGAATTGGTAGTTGCATAAACAACATTAGTCCTACAAAGTAGATTTTACAGGAGAAGGTTAAAACTATTTACAATTGAAAACATTAACACTGGAATGCTCCGAATAAGCAAGATACAAAACACTTGTATAACATTATTAGTGCCCAAAAAGTCATAACCATATGTTAACTGTACTTCACTACACAATTTTGAATTTTGTAGGCTCACGTTTTTGCAAGATCAAAATTTCAAGTAAATAATTATAATTTTATACATAAATATAGTGTAATTTTTTCATAATCTGATGAAGTTCAACAAAATTTAATCTTAGTTCTATATTAGTCTTTTTGTGTTTTCAGTACTTGGCCAATTTTTGAAGTCCTCATATTAACGTCTTTGTTCTTCAGGAATATATTGCATCAGTTTTCTTGTCATGATATTTAATATATTTATTGGAACCATCTTTTTGTAAGCTTTTTCTGTAGGTAATTTTGAAGATATATTTTGATTTTTGAGAAGTGAAAATTGATTTTCATGAGGCTGTCATCACATTCGAAACCACTTCAGTCCTGGACTCATGTGGTTTACGCAAAGGAGCTTAATCCAGCACACATATTACCCCAATACTAATACGGAAACTCATGTTCTTTATACTTCAGACAATGTATCTTCGACCTAGGAACCTGTTTCTGAGCCTAACTCAAAAATCACAAAAAGACTAGATGTTGTTTTTGCAACTACCAATTCAAACATTTTTAAAGGTTATTTTAGGAATACATTTATGGAAAATCAATATATAATTTACTTCATTGTCAAAAAATTTACCTCTCAGTAAGCAATAAAGGTAAATCTACATTTCAGGTTCTGAAGGATCAGTACAATCTTGGGCATCAAGTTTGAGTTATGAAAGCCAGTCAGATGAAAAGACTGCAGAAGCTGTGGAATTTATGCGTACATTTGTGAGTGACTTATTCAAAGATAGTGCTTCAATTCCTTTGGATCAGAAGTCAAAGTTTGGGCAGCTAGCACAGGTACTGTAGTCTCTTTCAATGATTTGCAAAGATGTGAAATTAAGCGTAATCCATTTTGTTTTCTTTATTTTTCTTTGTTCAAAACAGCATGAAGCTGGACGATTATGGTTTGCTCGATTTGTCAATGCTCAGCGAGTTCATCATAAGAAAGTTGATGAATCAACATTCTACAGCTTAGTGCAGTACTTTGCTATAGTTCTCTTTGAATGCGCTGATGCAGATGACTTTTCACCAGCTAAATCACTCATGAATATGTGCTTTACATTCTACCATGAAGGTAATGAACAATCCAAAAGTATTTATGAGCACAGATTATTCTTTATGAGATAAGATGTATAAGAGCACAATTATTCTTTATTCAGTCACATTGAAAATCATCTAATGTCAATAGAAATTCTGGTTTTAATATTTGTGATGTTTATTTTTGTACAATTACACTTCTTTGTAATACCTTACACAAGTTGCATTAAAATTAAAATTTGACTCATAACTTCAAATTCTATGAAAGTAAATGTATCCAATAATTTTACCTTTGAAAGCTACAATGAAATACAATGTCAATAAAACCATACTACTAAGTAGTCTCTACGCACATTAATTTGCTTAGAATTATGAACTAAATGCATTTCACAACGTGAAAATCAAATTTAAATAGAGGTTTAGGACGTAATAATGTTTGATTATTTTAAAATACTACCTTCATTAAGATCTTCAGATAATGTTTCCTGAATAAATAAACTTTTCTAATCTATGAATGGCAAACTCATCAGAAACTACTTCATTACAGTGGATGTTCCTGGGTGTGAACCTTACAAAGAGTATCTCTACACCTATTTACGTGAGCAGACCATCTGGCACAGCTTGCGTTTTTGGAATGCTGCCTTTTTTGATGCACTGCAATGTGAAAGAGTGCATCGTCCCGTTGTGACTCGTGATGACATTCAGAGCAACAGTCTGGAGGCTATTACGGATGAGAAACAGTATCAAGAGAATATTACCTTTGGTCAATTAGGGTATGAAATATAACCAGAATTATTTATTATTCTTTTGTTTGTTTGAAAATGGTGTACTCAGCTGGACTTACAGTTAAGAAGGTAACGGGCTACAGACTGACTGATCCGAATTGAAACCTCAAGAAAGCACATAAACACACACTTATTCACCCCCTTATTCATGATATTAGAAGGTAGCAGTCTTCATGGAACTACTTGAAATCCAGTCACATTTTGTTTCTTCATCATAAAGACACAAAATTATGAAAACTTGACTGCCTAAACATTATTGGCCCAATACCTTAAAAAAAAAAAAAAAATTATTTAAGGTCTCTTTACAACTGCTCTGGTTATGAACAACCACTGTAATTTACACTGGTTTACATTCAATTACAGTTATTAATTATACTACAAAATTTGTTATGCAAGGATTTAACAGAAATATGAAATCACTTTTTCTTCACTAAATAAATAACAAATATATAGGACTGCAAACTTTTTGGATGGGTACAGAAATTACATTTTTTTAAATTTGATTCTCTACCTTTGTTTTCTAATTGCCTCACATAATAAGCATAATACATAAGTGCCCTTTGACTGGAAATTCCAGCCACGACAGGTAGAACAGGGCAGGGTAGCACTTTTCATCACAGAAACCTGACAGTAAAAAGGCCAGGGCTCAGAGCTAGATTGGGTTGAGTGGTCCTTATTTCAGGGTAAGAGACACAAGCGAGAACGTAAGACCAAAAACATTGCAGCAGAAGTAGCTTGGGTGTGTCATTTGAGGAGAAAAAAGGGAAAAGAGATACTGGAAAAAGAATCACAATTGCATCATTGCATTTAACGATTCAATTCAATACAAAATCCTCCAACAAAACTTTTGGCTTTAAGACCAGCCTTACCCCTATCAGCCTGAAATAGTTGTCTGGAACAGTATGTCTGAAGGCTCAAGAGCATTTGTATACCAACCTCACAGGCATCATGCTTTTTGGACTCAATCTAGCATACAGTCATGGGCTTCTTAAATTCAGGGTTCACTGACAAAAGTTGCTTCCCATAACCCCATTCACATGTTTTCTGTGTTTTTGCACGTTTTGTCTGAGACACCTATGTTAATTATAGAAATCCAAATGTCTGTGTATCAACGAGAATGCATTTGCTTCAATATTTGTTTTTCAGAACATTTACATACAACATGCACGCGTTTGGTTTAACTAAAGAGCTATGTTCAGAGTTCCTGAGGAAGCAATGCATCATTGCCAACCTGAGTGAAGGTACATATTTCTACTTTTTCTCTTAAGATTCTAAACTTCTTAAAGAGTTATGTCAAATTTACCATATTTTTAAATACTTGCTAATCTTTATTATATAATTAATTTATTTTCATAACAGAGCAAGAAAAAATGCTTCGAGACAACGTGGAGAGGATGTACAGGGAAACAGATCCATGGCGATAGTCTTCAAAATGACAACAATTCAACATTAAACAATATTTATTGGACAGGTTCATTACAGGCTGACTAGTAATCTTAGATAATGCAATGGAGCATTTCAAATTGAACTCTTTTAATAATCATACATTAAAGACTGAGAAGATATTCATATGAGAATGAATGTAAGCATTTTGCTTAAATATTGCAGCTTTCAGAGACAATAACAATAGTGATAAGGGAAGAGCAGAATAACATGGTGCAGAGGGATAGGATACCAAGTGACTGAATAGGTGATGATTCTGGAATGTCTGGGTCAGTCTCCAATATTACAACTCTTCCACAATTCATCTGAGTAGAAACCATTAGATACATTGTATACATTATTTTAACATTTCACTTTACTTCCACTGAATAAAACATTAATGCTCAATCTGTTATTCTCTAGAACAGATATATATAGAGCAAATAATAGTGTATTTTATAAGACAGTTTTTGAATTCTTCTACATACTTCAATTAGACAAAATAGTTATATTCAATTGCAATAAATGATTTACTTTCCTAATCAAAACAATCTAGAATTATGCTAATTTTAAAAAATAGATTATCATCATTAATTACAGTACTGAGCCACTAAAAATTATTTTCATTCAGGTGCTTGTCTTAGACAATCAGTTACAAAAAGAAGGAAAGTTTAATTTTTGACACTTAGCTTGGTACTGCATTTTGAGGGCATACAGACTGGAAGCAATAAGTGAGATGTTCCTAGTTGGGATGAACTGGGCACATGGGCATAATCCCAATCAAGTTTGTATCCAAGACTTATCCATTTGTAATCTTCTATAAGGGTTTTGAAATTAAAATATATTTTTAACATCATAAGAAATATTCTAAGTTATAGCTGTGTATCACATTGATTATTTCTCCAATAAACAAAATCCGATTTTTGTAAGTTCCTATACATATAATACATAAACCAATGACTCACATCGTGGCGATTTTCTTTTTAACCATGTTTTTAAGACAGAAACAGAATATATCAGGGTACTGATTAGTATACAATAAAAACCAACAGTGATATGCAATGTCAAATAGCTGATAGCATAGGTGTCATTCTTAAAAAAAATAAACAGAAGAAAGGAAAATTTGTCTCCACAATGTGAATAAAACCAAAAACAATTTTTTTGTAATCATAAAAGAAACTAATTTTATATTGGATGAAATGGATGTTTCAAAAGATACACTTCAAAACAACAAATTACTTTTGAAAATCAGTTATTATAACTACAATATGTGTTTAGAACAAAATTATTTAAGATTTCTGGATTTTTAGTTACCTTTTGTCATTTTTCACAAATCTGCACATATATTGCAATATAAGAAACTTTTGCACGCTTCTTAAAATAAATATCAGAAAATTATTTTGATTTGAAAGCCATTAGTAGTTTCACACATGTCACTTAAATGCTCATTCCTTTGCTGAAATGAGCCCAAAATATGACACATTGTTTAATACAAAACTTTCTTTCAGTAAAAATCAAAGTTGATAAAAAATTGGTCCAAGATTCCTGTCCCTCAAATAATAATGGCATGTAATAATATTGGAAAACAATATAAATTAAGACACAATTGTATCAGTACAAATCATCAATAGTCATTAATTATCATCATTCATAACAACAGAAAATTTCTGAGAATGTTCTAGGGATAAACTAAATAATTCTGAAGCAGCTAAGTAAAAGTTTGTAATTATCTTCAAACTGTCATTAAGATTCTATTTATAGGTTTTTTGTCCAGAATTATTTTAGTCTTTTTTTATTAAAATATTAAGCACAAAAATACATTAACTAGACACCTTAATTTGGATTAAACAATTTTGTTTAATGTTCTTTAATGGAAGCCTTTCATGAAAATTAATAGACGTTAGGGACTTTTTGTCAACGTAGAGTACGATATATTTTTTAAAAAATGACAAAATTTATTGAGCTGAGTTCATTTGTACATGGTATATATTTATAATAATTTCTATTTGTTTTATGCAAGTTTAACTAAAATTTTAAAGTTAGAAAATGTAACATTGTTATATCGTCTTAAGGCAATGTTATTATTATAATAGTTTCTGTTTATCTTAAATTTAGAAAAACTCCTGAAGATTAGGAAAAGAAGTCCTTCAAAAGTAGGAATTATAAATTTTAAAAATTGATAGAACATTTTAATTAAAATCGTTTAATCTAAATTATGGTTTCGCTTTAAAGTGTTCCTGTCTTAATAAAAAAATGGGTGTCTGAAATAATTCTGGACAAAGAAACTATAAACGGTCTTAAGTACATAGGTTTAGTTACAGACTTGAGAACTTTTTCCCTGTTGACTACAGAATTACTATTTCAAAAGGATAAAAATGCACCAAAAGGAAGACAATAAGAAAGCCATCCAACTAGCAAAACTTGGGAGAAATGTAATATTTGCTATCGAGAGAAATTCGCCATGACACCTTTACAGACACTAAAAATACGTCCTCACTTAACCATGAACTCAGTATTTCATAATCCAGTCAAATAAATAGTATAACCATTTCAAATTAATCTCTTAACAATTGGTGGAGAAAAAAATTCAAAGAATCACAGCCTGCTAATGTATGTACTTGTATTTGTAAATACAGTCAGAACATAAACTTCTGAAGTATATTCCCATATCCAAGAGCCACACAGAAGCCACACCAAGGGCCTTACAGAAAACATTCTGCTACCATTCAATTAGCTCCCAAATTATTATTATGATACTTGGTTCACATCATAAATCAGGCACTGTCAATGCAATCTGGCAGCTAAATCTTAACACACTACTTCAGATCTCATATTATCCTTTTCAAGCAAGTCAGAAAACTCCTTAATTCAGGCCTCAGTTAAGCCGAAAAATTAGTTTACTGCAAATATAGACAACTTTATACTAAAGCACAACATATTATAAGTAAATGCCGTGAGAGAGCGATTAGTGCTGCCAACTGCCCTGAGAACTGGAAGCAATGTCATGGTGACCTATGATGGATTCCACACAGAGATTGGTCAAGGAGCTTCACCTGCTTATGCCGAGACAAATATCACAGTTCCAAAATGTAGAACTAAAATTCGACCTCAAGTTTATCTACTGAGACTCTACTCTCACATTACTAAGAAAATGCTAAACATAAGGAAATACTAAAGAAGAAAACAGCGCATATTTTTCACTAAAAGTCAGAAATGTGAGACAGTCCCTTTGCCTTCCATTTGTCTTTTCATCACAACTCACTTCGTAATAAATGCCATGTCATCAATGCAATTCCACATCTGAAAATAATTTTCAAAAGTAAAGTAGAAAAGTTCAAAAATCAACTGGAAATAAATGATGAATTTTTATAATTTTTTATTAAATGAAGAAAGAGAAATTCGCATAAAAATACTGTATGTTAGGCTCCATGACTGTCTTTAGTATTTAAGAGAATGACACCACATGCTTCAGTATTGCTTCAATTTCACACAAAACATGTAATCTCTTGTAACTTTCATTACTTTTCACATTCACCCTACATTCAAAATGTCCTAAAACTGATTATTTAGACGTCAAGGAACAATTATAAAAGTACATTTCAGTGATCTCATGAACTGCATTAATCAAGCTTTGTACAAAGGATTGGCAGAAATAACTTCAATATTCAACATATCATACTCCAAAAGAAAATACATCGAAGGCACTTTGATGTGTACTACATTCTACTGTAAATACCTTGATAAATGTGATTAGACTGATGGCAAAGAGAGATGAGGTAGCTTTCACTGAATATGGATTAATACTGGTAATTTTTTCAACAATTACTCTCACCTCTGTTTGCCTTATTTCATGTTGTATGCCTCAAAAGTGTTATTTCTGTTTGCACTAGCTACCATCATACACAGTAATCAGACGGAGACAGACTACATCACTTGAATACACCATCGTAGTGTACAGGGGTCCCTATCACATTTTTAATCTCTTTCAGTATAAGCTGCAGACAAACTCAAATCTTTGTACTGCAGTGGGATCAAGTGTCACAATCAATATTCCCACAATGTCCAATAACGTACTAGCAAAATTTACAAATTAACAATAACATAAAAATCAACAAACGAGAAAAAGGACTTCCTATAAATTACTTCACAAATGCACTATAATACATGCACTATCATACACTTTATGCACTTATTCTCAAGAGAAATAAACATGAGACACTGACTAAAAGAAAAACTACATCAAAACTTGCAAACAAGACTCCTTTATCACAGATCTCTGCAAACGCATGACAGTAATAAGTAGTCAACGTTCAGTTTGTAGGGGAGAATGGACAATCAACACATGAGCCTCAGAAAAACATGTTCTTCTTTGATGATGCTTGTTCCTAACTACAAATTTACAAACAACACTTGTACATCTCATATTACAAGATCATAATCAACATGATTTAAAATTGGAAAGAATATAGGAAGTTTCAAGTAACATCATCATTTGGCAAACATGACTAGACATCCTCAGGTCTACACCAAGGCTCAAGACTCGAGTCTTGAAACTACATGAACTAATACTACATCATATTGTGATAAACTATATCAAACAAATGCCATAAAAAACAATTTTTCAAACATGTAGTTTGAATTTTTTCTATTTAAAAATAGATAACTTTTCATTGTTTTTCAAATGCAAGATTAAAATAAATGAAAAGTATTTTCACCAAAAAAAATTACATGTCAGGTTGCAAAAAAATAAAAGAGACAGAAAGGAAAAAGTATTCTAGCCACTACAGCTAAAAATCAAACAACTTGTGAGTGATCTAACTAGTAACACACGATTGGCAATTTTACACATGTGAAAAATATATGCAGAAATTATCTATGCATTTCAATTGCCTCATAATTTCAATCTCAAGAAAATTGTTGTGTTCTAAAGGCAATGTACAGTGAAAAATATCTGGTTCTCAAACAGATTTACGAAGTATATGGCACAAAATTTGCTTGCACTCCAAATGCAATTGCTTTTCATTTCATCCCACTAGTTTCCAAAGCAGATGGTCCACCTAGACACATGGCTGTCTACAAGACACTGTCTCTTAGGTACAGACGTGGTAACTTCCAGACAGCCAAGTATCCACCGACTCGGCCGCAGAGGACTGCGCTTTCAGACATCTCACCCTCTGACAGGCAGTAGAGCAATCCAAAAGGCAGCAGTGGCCCCTGATGAAACTGAAGTAATGATGGAGATAGGAAGGCAAATTTTCTCCACTTCTTTGTTCGAATAAAATATATTTCCTAGGGGGCATTTAGTAACTTTTTCTTCCCAAGAATGGAATGACAGTACGTATGAGGGCAACAGAATGGGAACCTCTGTTATAAATATAACACAACATTAACTAGATATGTTTTAGAATAATAGTTCTGAGTACTTGTTCTCACTGGAAGAAAATAGATATGCATCCGATAAAACCCAGGATTTAAAATTAAAGGCAGACATTATATACCACGATTTTCCTGTTTATAGAGGTCCTCTTTCGCATTTTTTGAGAACATCAGTAAAAACTTCCAAACATTTGTAATGAAAAGAAGGCAGCACACAAAAACTACTTTTCACCAAAGAGCACTACTAATTCAAGTCCAATCCTAAATTTTGTTTCTCTTCAGGAAATATTTACACTTTTTGAGCACGAGGATTACAGTCATTTAGAAACAATTGTTTATACGAATTGCGTTGTTGACTGTTTAAGCTGCCAGAAGTTATAACAAATTTTACCTCTGTTTAACTTTTACAACTGTGAATTTACTATGGGCTGACATCAGCTTCACCATTTCTAAATGTTACATTCCTCCTCTTTAGATCCCCAGCCGATTGCGGATAGCTAGGTATGGTCCCTAAAACAAATGAAAAATTCGGATTCAGTTGGGTCATTCTTCAAAATGAATGTAATGCTGAGTTATGAGGATACAGCAGTGAGTTATTATATTGCACAGTCTGTTAACATTATATTAAGTTACATGCAATTTCATAAAATAACAAATCAATTTAACAATAACACATATTTATAATGACACGTTTTTATGTTACTGTGTAGTAATATAATCACTACAACATTCAGCAGCATTTTCTAATTCAATTATAGTACTAAGGTCATTCATAAATTACATAATAAATAATGATTTCAACTTTGAAAACAAAATATGTACCTAAGATCTACAATATTAATCATGCAATCAAAAATATATATTTGTCATTCACAACAAAATAAATTATTATTTAAAAACATTAGCATAAACAATCAAAAAACGGGGTATAAAAGGTTTGAAATAACACTCCTTATGTTCTCTTTCAGGGATAGTATTGACCGCGTTATAGAAGGTCCTCCTACCTATTTGCTCAGATTCCTTAGGTAAAAATTCAGGTTGACGGTCTTTAAATCCAAAGTCGGGACCTTTGCAAGGGGAGGTCTCCCTTGAAATGTCACCCTCACTCTGAAAAAGATCCAGTGAACCTAGTACAATCAGTTTTCCACTGACATGCAAGCATCAAAGGTTTGGTAAAGGCAATCGTTTGAAGGAAAAAAAGTCTAAATAATCATAACCATAATCATAATAACAAAAGTAAGAGTATAGCAACAAACAATACAAATTGTACAAATACCTTAAAAACTCTCTTCAAGCTGCAGTTAGCTTTCAAATATAGTCCTAAAATAATCTCTCTTCCAAAGAAAAGAAAATAAGGCCAAATAGAAATTCAAAAAAAGATAATTTTTTAAAATCTAATTCTGGATTCTACCTTTAAATATTTTAGCAAAACAATTTTATGCAATATTTTTTACAAATAAAACTTTAAAATTTCATAGAACAGTCTTCACAAAATTGTTAAACTTTAAAAAAGACACTTCAGGTAATTGAATTTTTATGAAACGTTCTTCTGTTATCCATTTTTATAGAAATCCATGTAAATTCAGCACAGCAATAAAAATGTGTCCCAGAAATTTACAATGAAACTAACATGGAAAAGAAAAAACTCCTCTTTTGGCCATTGGAAATTTATTATAACATTCAGGTAGACAAAATAATTAGTGGTAATATTTGCAAACAAGGAGTCTGTAGAACACAAAGGAAATCAGAACACCCATGCAGCTATGTTCATTCAGTCATGCAATATATCTTGGTACCTAAATAAATGAATACCTGAAAGTAGCGATGCCAAACAACACATCCATAGACACACATTATTGAAACTAGCAGCTGAACAAGCAGCCAGAAAAAAATGTTAATAGCTTGGGTTTGTTCAAACAGTTCTTTGCCATTCTTGATACATAGAATGGCTTCCATCACCATTATTGCACCATACACCCAACATTGAGTTCCCACTCTTTTGCACTGGGTATCAGTCACATAACTATAGTACTGCCTGCAACAAAGTTGTACATTCATAATTTTCATAATTTTCCTTGTACAGTTTGTAACTGATCTTTTGCAATACCTAGCACATTCACTGAACTACAAGTAACATATTAAAAGTTAATATATATATATATATATATATTCCTAATACTCAAGGTCTCAGCACAAGGCAACATGTTTTCTTTCAAATTAACCCAAAAAATAATGTAATTACCTCTGAAATGGTACACATCATATGTGTCTTTTTGGTAACCACAGATTACATTATTTTACTGAAAAAAATGAGTAGGAAAAACAAATCTGAGATGGTCACTGCCATGGAACGTATTTTCATTATACATTAAATGAGTTCATTAACTGGAATTGGTTCATGCACAATTGCAAAATTTCTAACTTCCTCTAAAATTCTATGTTACAATGTTTGAAAATCACTGGTCTAATGACACTAGGATCACACACTTACTCATAAATTCGGTAATTATGAATGTTTATTATCTATTAACATCATTACATTCTATAATTCAGGATTGTCAAATCAAAATTACATTATTACATTATATCCATTTGTTCTTACCCAAAAAAGACTGAATTTAGCCACAATGTGACTGGAAAAGCTTTCTCCAATAAAGTAATGATGATCTGACAACATTTCATTTAATGAAGGAAATAATAAACTTACCGAACTGAAGGTGCAACAATCACTCCAATAAGAATTAAACGTCCAACCACAAGGGGATGCGAAGGAGGCATTTCAAATATGTGCTTCAGGAAAAAAGTGTTTAATTCTGATACCTGCCAGAATATGACCATCTGGCACAAAGCAAAGAAGCGCATATAGGTGCAAGTTGGATCCAACCAGCGAACATGGGTCCAACTGCCAGGAGTGAATTGTAGGACTGCTCGCTTAATCTTCCCTGATGTGGAATGAATATCTCTACAGAAATAAATACAAAAAAGTATGCATTAATAAAATTCACATTCACTGTATATCAAAATAACTGAACTTAACAGAACACTGGCTCAATCAGAGAATATTCCACAAGATCCAAGCTTATGCTAAGAGAGATCTTGAAATGTCTATCAAAGAGTAGCTGAGTACAGAAAAGGAGTCAAAATAAAAATAATTAATATATTACTGCTTTCTTCAAGAGCTATTTACTTGAGGTGTATTGAAGATTTGTTTTTACTGAATGTCCAATGGAGACACCAAGTAAATTCATTACTCTGGAGTGTGCTCATTTCATGAACTTGTACAAATATATAAGAAAATTTTTTGCAAAATATCTAAATTATGCTCTGCAATAAAATTTTACTTTTTTCTCTACTAATTTTTCTTCTTTTATTTTCGGATTTCATTTTTAAAAAACAAATATATTTCAAATTTTGTGTAAAAGGACACATACTTCAAAATTTAACGTATTCGAATAAGAAATGTTTCTCATCATTAGAACTTATTTATTATTTATCAAAAAATACTTCATTAAAAAGATACAAAGCTACAGTATTACCTCATTATAAGTTACATCGAGGGCACAGACTTTTGTCCTATTGGTGTGAATTCTTTATGAGGGGGATATGCCAACACAGATTTGTGTATCTTCACCTAACTTAACGTCTTCCACAAAACTGCACACAGGAGAAGTGGCAGGAGATTTTCACATGTCACAGATGAATTGGGTAATTTCTGGAAGAGTAATTTTGTACTTGGGAATCCCTTTATACGGAACCTTTATGTGTTTGGGAGTAAAACCAATAAGACATACGGCTTGCCATGAGGAAAACTTTATTGTTTAATCTTCTTGAATGAATCAAAAATTGCTCTGGAAACAATATTTTATCTACTATAGGTGGAAAATTTACAAGGGAGGTCTCTTACATGATGAAAATGTTCCCAATGGGACATGGACAGCCCTTATTGTCTCTTACAACTGGGTATATACTGTATTTACAAGTTATTATTTACATTTATAGTTGATTTTTTTCCTCAACAAATTACATGTTAAAAATCCATGCTATACTAAAAAATCTGCGACTAATTAACTTAATATTTAGTAAGTTTCACCTTTCAAGGGTAGATTCAAAGATATCTTCAATTTTTGCCTCTAAAATTTGCAACTATTTTACAATTTTGGACACTTATGTACTATTTTTGGCAAACATTAAAAATTCATAAATAAACAAAACTTGGTTTTCAATTAAAAAATCAAATTAAACACAGTACAGAGGTATCATCTGGATGTGCATTACACTTTAAATCAAGGTTATCAATCTTCTGGAGAATATTTATGAGATCTATATCAATACCATTAACCACATCTGGAGCTTCATCTCCAAACATAATTATAGATAATATTTGTGCTTTGTCATTAATGTGTGGCAAAATAATAGGCAAAACCATCCACATATTGCCAAAAGTTTTTCCGAACATCAGGAATAAATGAATAAAGCTCATCATTAAATTTAGCACAATCCTACAAGCTAAGCACTTGCACTGACTTCTCAACTGACAAAAAAAATGTATAATATAGAGGAGACGTTTAAGTTTTGTACATTAAAAGAACTTTTCTAGAGTTGTCACTGCACGACTCATTGCAAACACCATATTAATTCCACAAGGACTCCACTTTCATATTGATATTAGTAATGCGACATAGACAACAAAACATCAATGTTACCAAACATTGATGTTCAAAATTTAATCACTGATGTTAATAATAAATCAAACAAGACCCATCTATGTTCTTAAACATCGATGTTTTAAAGTTGGTTTAGGAACCAATTTGACTGTTGCCATGCTTATTAATTTATAATTAAAATTTATCTAAAACTGACTAAGTTAAAAACACTGCTCCATGTGCTAAATAGAGGAAAGACAAAGGAAATACTAGAGCCTCTGGATTATCTCGGGGGAGGGATAGTATACTCAATGAAGGTAGAACAAACTGCGTTTGTTTGGTTCAAATACCTAGACAGTAGTTCCAACAGTTCATAAGTCAACTTTTCAAAATCGTGAATTTGGGCATTTTTCTCAAACAAAACATCGAAGACATAACAAAACATCGAGCCTAAATCATTAATGTTTTGAAAACAGACATGAATGTCACACCCTTACGTTTATCAAAATCACACCCATTAGAAGGTAGAGATTACTAAGCACATAGATTTTAAAAAGGCAAAAATAGGTAAAAGGCAAGTCTTCATCAGTCTACACATGCTAAGGAGTTCTAAAAAGTTCTCAATGCTCTGCGCTTGCTCCACATACTCCTGACACCTGCTTTAAATTGTAAAATGCTAAAAATCACTCACACACTTAAATACAGATACTAAAGCGTTAATAAATCAGAGTAAAAAATATTCAATACACAAAATACCAAGTTGAGTGACCTAAAACAGTTAAAAGCATTATTCAAACATATCCACATGCAAGCAAGACACATAATCACTTCAAAGTGGTGGCATTTGGAGCGGAGTAGAGAAGTTTGTCTTGCTATGTAGCTGGCACTTGACGAGGCTGTATCTATTATATAGAACTATATTATATGTTAAATCCCTAATTAAAATAACAAATAGAATTGAGAGATACATATATACAAATAAAACTTTACAGGAAAGACTACTGGATGGACACATTCATCTATTAGTTTATTGTTACAGTACACATGTTTGAGTAAGTATTATTACTTAGAGGTATAAAATATGTATAATTTCAGTGTTTTGTTGTAAAAATCATCACTTCTTGTGCTGTCATCATTAATTCTTTAAAAACTGTAAATTTGTCTTCACACAAACCTTGAAATTCATTTTTGATACATTTCTTGAGAAAGGTACATTTCCGGCTGAATGGAAATCTTCCTTCATAATACCAATTTACAAAACAGGCAAGAGAAATTGTATTTCGAAATATAAGCCTATTACAGTCTTGAGCATTATACCTAAATTGTTTGAATCTATTGACATGGACAAAATTGGTAATCTGATCATCCTTTTCTCTCTGAAAAACAATTTGGGTTTATGAGAAAGAAGAATATAGAGGTAATTCTGGCTAACTTTACTCATTGTATTCTTGAGACTATGGCTAATAAATTTAGGACTGACAGTGTTTACACTGATTTTATTAAGGCCTTTGATGCGGTCAATTATTCAATACTTGTTTCTAAACTTCAACTATGTGGGATTAATGGTTCACTACTATAGTGATTCAACAGTTATTCAACTGGAAGAGTTTGATATGTGACCTATATAAACATAATGTCTCTCGTGCAATTTAAGTATCCTCGGGAGTACAAGTTTCTCACTTGGATCCAATTCCGTTTTTATTTTTATTGATGACATTCATATGATTTTGATGAATGTTGAATATACACTTTAATTAGATGATCTGAAAATTTATAAATGTATAAAAACACTACAGGATACAATATATTTGCAAAATGCACTGAATTTCTTTACTGCTTGAAGCATTGACAATGATTTATTTCTTAAACCAAATAAATAAAAAACTATAACCTTCAGCAAGTCTAGATCAGAAGGAAATACTGACTATGTAATAAATTCCACAATATTGGAGAGAGTATCATCGCTAAGACATCTTTTGGTGGTTTCTGACTCAAGAATGTCTTTTGAATACCATATACAGCTAACTGTCAGCAGAGCAAATTTACTATTTGGACTGATTAGAAGATCATGTGAAGTGTTAAGAGTCCTGAAGAGTGTTGAAAACTTTGCCTCCAACAATTGCAAAGCTTGCAATGATACACTCATCTATAGAATTGTCACCATTTTTTTTTAACTATTCTTATAAACTGTACAACACACATTTTTTAGAATTGTGCCATGCACAATGAGACTAGTTGACCCTTTTATCAACCGCAAATATGGAGAAATATCAATGCACAGATCACAGGAATGTTGTGGATTTGTTTTTTCTGAGGAAATTCAGAGTTCCACACACACACACACACACGCCATTTAAAAGCATTTTATATTCATCATATTGTTTCAAATTCAGGAATACATAACAATTGCGAAGTTAATTTACATGATGAGGCAGAATTTGCTTTAACAATTCATAAAATTCAAAATACCTCTAATCTGATGAAAATTCACACATTTCAAACTAAAATTGTAATGAATATATATATAAGTGAGCATGAAATTCAAAAATAACATGGAGAAAGTGCAGTTCTTTTTTGTTGATGTCCTACATCCTCGTTACAACAACACTTGTTCTATGAACAGATGATTGATACATTATGTATAAGCAGGTCTACTTCAAACGCTGCATACTAATGCCCATAAGAAGTTAACTGAATTTGAATGAGCAAGCATACTAATTGAAACTTCAACTTATTTGGATTTTTTTATTAAGATTTTGTACAACATTTTTAAACATATTCGAGAAATGCAGTGCACAGATACACACTGCATCAAATAGGGAAGTCCAACTTCAAAACAAAACCCACAATAAAAATATTTAATTTTAGAAAATAGGAAAAGAACCCTTATTTGCTTAAGCATCTTAAGAGGAAAAAACAAAACACTTTTATTCAAGTCTGTCTAGAAGGTGATGCACATATACACAGTATTCGGACATTGAAGTTCAACTTTTTTCCACCCTAGCATGAAAGCGTACCAAAAGTTCTTTCAATACTAGTACTGAAAGTACAATTAGAATATAAAATATGTACCAACCCCCAAACAGAAAAATATATACTATGTTCTCGTGATCGTCAATAAAAATGTTATATTACACAGACAAATTGTCATAAAATTGAGGTTTTAAATAAAATACTGTTCATAGCAAGGTAAAAGTGACTTTCCATGACACAACGTGATTTCTCAACTTGGCTCATCTGAGAACTCTCCCACCTAGTCATGGAACCAACAACTTTCAGGCCTTCTTAAGTGAACTACTATCAGTTCCGTGCATTTGTCTTCTAGAAGGGACAATCCAAATATAAATCACTTTCTTATAATATTCACATTATCAGAAAGCAAGAAGCAAAAATTAAAATCTACAAAATAGAATGGTTAAAGCAGGGTACATGGTACACCCTTAGAGAAGCGTGGTGGCAGGAGGGAGTCTCCTTAAGCCCTAATTACTGTATGTGCTCTGATAAAAATGAATAAAACTTATGGATAGGTGATTTCTATGGTTCTCCCTTCATATGCTTTGTCCCCGCCGCATTGTAATGCCAATTTACTTTCAAAGGTAAGTTTTCTTACTTCGCACGCCTGGATCCAAGTCATGTCGAGGCTCAGGCCTTCAGCTCTCATGTTCACTATCCTTCAGTCTATCCACCACTTAATTAGCAATTCACTTTTATAAGACATCACTTTTCAAGAAAACCTCCAGAATTCTAACTGCCAAGCTAACGCCGGAGCGGCACTAAGTGCCGGTGTAAACGACTTCTGTAAGTTGTACCGTATACTAGACCTCAGACAATAGAATAAAAAAAAAACTAGACAAATATTACAAAATACATACCTTATGCTGACCCATTTGTACTCTCTCATTTCAAGATATTTACAAATTTTTAACCCCACCCAAATCCCTGCTCCATTGCAAATAATCACATCTAAAATGAGGGCATCCCACCAGCATTCAATGAAGTTAGGAAGTAAATGAGCGAAGGCAATCTGCAAGAATGCACATTATTAACAAGAAGAAATGAAGCACCTTTTGGCAATAATATTTGTCAATACAGAATAACAAACCTCTGTGATTTCCCACATTACACTGATTGCCCAGAGAATGCCCATATGTCGAACAAGGATAGCCTTGAACATCCATCCTAAAAAATGACCCCAAGCAAAGACATCTAAATGTCCCAATACTCTATCCACTGTAATATCAGAGCAATTGACACCATATTCCTGCAAAAATTGACAATAGTCATAATATTGAAACACACAAGATAAAAAGGAAATCAGTATATAAATCTCACCTTTTCCATATCTATGTGAAAATCTTTTAGGGATGGATCAATCCACAACAACAAAGCTCTAACAGTTTTATAGTTTTGAAATAACAAGAATACTAGGGCCATTAAGTACAGGACACTCAAGCCAAATACCATTCTCCACAGCGCTGGATGTGGTCGAGTAAATGGTCCATTGGGAAATGCAAGTACAGAGACAATCAAAAAGAAGAAAATAACACAACAAAATCCAGCCCAAATGTTATCTTCTATACTTTGTTCATTCCTGAGGGAAAATCAACAAATAGGTATTATCAAGAGGCTTATAAATTCATAAATATTTTTTTAACATAATTATAATTAAGAAAAATTATAGAAAAAGTGCCATAATAATTTAATTTGCAATTGAGTTGTCACTTGGTTACCTAATAAATGCTGAATATATGACTGCTGCAATTGAAACAGCTAACAGTGTAATAGTGTGGGGTTTGTAAAAAAATTCCAGAGATATATCATCGACGGGTCGTTCGTTGATAGTGTAAAAACTATCTGCTATCCCATCACTTGACCTAGCTAGGCTAAGTCTCTTCTCCAATTTTGAAGATAAGTTTTGATTCATGATTAAACTTACTGCAATCCGACCTTTGGTACTTTTAGGAAGTTCGAAATAGGTACACAATCCGAAAATAACAAGTTAATACAATAACTTAGGCATTTTTTTAAAAAATTCTCCCAGTAACCTTATAATACGACCTCCAGACCATTTAATCGAACGAGAACGACCACCAGTGAACACGCACGCTCTTCATTTGTTGGGGATCGTATCGAGTTAGTACACTTCGATTTAAACACAGCTGCACTTCAAGAACACATGCTGAACGGAGAGGGAGACACTTATCCAATCAAAAGTTTCGTTAGGACTTATATTTTTAGTATTGGATCTTTCAGTTGGATAATGGTGTTCCCCTCTCCTTTAAACATGTGACCTTTAAGAGCAGCTGTGATTAAATTACAGTACATAACATCGATATCACGCGAGGTTTTGTATGTCGAGATCCGGTGTGATTTGATCAGATTAAAGTTTTGATACTGAATTTGATCGAATTTTATTCAGGATTTGACGTCCGAGCGTTTATGCTCAGTATTTAGTGGTATTTGTTTAGAACCGCTCCAGAGTCAACTCTGCAAAAATTTCTATTCCCATATATTTGTAGTTCGAAAAATGCATGTATTGAGGGCAATTCTTTTTATAAAGAACAGGCATTTTATTTTGCATGATTCAAATTTCTAGAGCAATTGATTTCCATCGAATCTCCCCCCTCCCTTTAGCAATGTCACATTTAGAAGAGCAAATCTTTATTAACGGCAATGAGGTTATTGTATTATCTTTTCTGAGTTTGTTTTTATTTGCTCTGTCATGAATTCATACTTGATTGTGTTGTTTTTGCAGATTCACCATTGCCTAGTTTGCAATATATCAATAAACCAGAAGGACAAAGTGTACAATATTTTTAGCAAAATTGGATTACCTAATTCTTTGTACGAACCTTCAATTCTTACAAAAGTTGGACAAATTCTAAACAGATCTCTTGGCAGTATAACTATGCATAGTGATGTTATATGTCATAGTTGCTTTCTTATTGTGACTGAATATACAACAATAGAATCAAGGCTTTGTTCAATTCGTTCTGGACTTTCTAAGACTTTTGATAAAACAGCTGCAGAACATGCACTGGATCAAGGCAATAAATCCAAAATGCACTATAATATTGAAAGTGAAGATTCTTGTAAACAGATTTCAGGGATAATTAATGAAAAAGGAAATTCAGTTATTACAGGTGAAATAGAGTTTAGTGATTATGTTTCTGACAAAGTTAATTTTAACGAAACAAACCACAAAGTACTACAAAAGAAAAGAAAAAGTGTGAAAAAATGTGTTTCAAGGCCGTTCAGTTGCTCTGTATGTAGAAAAGATTTTCGAGCTTACAGCCATCACGTTGAGCATATGCTGATCCATCTTGGTGAAAAACCATGGTTATGTAAAGAATGTAATAAATCATTCCGAACTAAAAGTGCATTGAAAGTTCATTCTGTGAAACATACTGGTTACAAACCATTTAATTGTGAACAATGCAATAAATCATTTGCTGAAAAATGTTCTTTGGAGGAACATAATCGGATTCATTCTGGTGAGAAACCTTTCAGGTGTGATTTCTGTGAAAGGTCTTTTACTAGGAAGAAAGATCTTGTTATTCACTTGAAGACCCATACAGGTGACAAACCATATAAGTGTTCACAGTGTCCAAAAAGTTTTGCAGTGAAGTCAAGATTGGAAAGGCATTTCATGATACATTCGGGGGAAAAACCATATAGCTGTGAACATTGCCCCAAATCATTTGCTCGGAAAGATGATTTCAAACTTCATGTTCGCCTGCATACTGGTGAAAAACCATTCCAGTGTTCTCATTGTGATAAAACTTTCACCAATCATTCAAACAGATTGGCTCATATAAGGACCCATACCGGAATTAAGAAGTACTCGTGTAACATGTGCAAAAATTCTTTTAAATTAAAAAAAAAATTCCAAGAACATTTGAATGCAAAGCATCGCAGTGAAGTTATTAAAGAGAATGTTTTAGCTCAAGCTCAACCTTATGTTCAAGAAACAGTTATTCATTTTAGTGCAAGTTCCCAGGTCCCTCTTTCAGAACCTGAAATCTTGGTTGTCAGTCCTGCAGATCTGCACACTTTGCAGCCAGTTCCTACTGATCCTGCATCTCAGGTTTCCTGGAAAGAATGCCCTGATCCTTCTGTCGATACCAGGTATCTTACTGACCCTCCCTCTTATGAATATTGACAAACTGAAAAAAATTGAAGTGATTTCCGTATGTTTATATTCACAGACCTGTGATTTTTATCTTTAATATTGACATTTTTTCTATGAAATGCTATTCTATTGTTGCTTATTTAATAAAGATTTTTACAATCCTGGATCCTGCATACAATTTTTTGTAAAAGACCCCAAAAAAGGGTTGAAATGTTTAAATAAAATAAACTACTAGAAAAATTATATAAAGGTGTCTTCTCTCTCTCTCTTTTTTTTTTTAATAAGAAAAGTCAAAATACAGTAAAACTTGCTCAAAGCAAAACCTTAAGAAACCAGAATTTTTTCCGTATTAGACAAGATTCCATATTGTGCAATGTAATACTGTAGAAGTTGTGATTGGCAGGACCACAATTAATGTTCACATTAGACAGATTACTGCATTATACGTTCCACATTGAGCACTTTTACTGTAGTAATATTCATACTTAACGTATTTTTGCCAACTCAAAGCTGGTTGTCTCCTTTTCATTTCTTTGGCACCTAATTCTGACCTTCAACAAGCGTAATAATACTGCTTTAGGGCTGTATCTTCCAAAGATTTTGTTATTGAGAGGGAAATCCCAAATCTCCAAATTTCTTCAGTTCTCATTTGTTTTTGTTGTCTTTAAACATCTCATAAAATCCAATTCTACTCCATTGGATTTGGTGAGACAATTCTGTCTCTAATTGATTTGGGTAGTGACCACATCTCGGCTATATTCAATACTTTATTCTCCACAATTCTATGAAATTGAGGTTTTTTGCTATCTTTACATATATCTCGTTCCACAAGAGACCATGCTCCAGATGCTCTTGTTTCCTTTATTATTTTTGTGGTTATATCCCTTCAACAGATGCATGAAGAGCATATAGTTGTCACTGAATATTTAAAATTATTACAGGTTTCAATTTGTCTTCAACTTTTAAAATTTGAGCATAGTCTCTGACACCCCTAACTCCTCCTAGAATGGGTTATAACTTAAAACCTTTTACTTTTCAGGGTAGCATAAAGAAGTTATTAACAATTTTGTATTATACTAATCAATTTTTCATTGAAATAGGATAATGAGACACCAATGTTCTGTATAGTTTGGTTTTATCTCCTTAGATTTTTATTTTCACTTTTATATTTAATGCCGATCAGATGGCCAAGAACGTTAGGGCCGTAGTGGTTTCGAACCAGAAGACGTCGGGTTCAAATCCTGCCTCAGCCATGTTTGTGTCTATATGTGTGTGCCATCACTGTCATCATCTCATTGTCCATATCTCCAGTGCTAACAACCTTAGGGGATAAAAAATTCAGCTGAAACACTGATTCCCCCCCCCCTCCCAGAAAGGTACTTGTACCTATTTATGCAGGATGCATGCATGGTCCGAATTGGCCTACATGCCAAAAAAAAAAAAAAAAAAAAAAAAGAAAAGAAAAAGATATAGCCCTATTTGCCTATGATTTTTTGCGAAAGCTTTAATAAAATTTTGTCTTAAGAGAGATATAAGTAGTAAAAATATTATCTTTTTTAACTAATAATCTGTGAGGATTCAAGGCAATAAATTGAAAACTATAAAACAAAACTGTATTAAAACAACTTGATTTTTGAAACAAAAAAATTTAACTGCAAACAATATTGTAAGTTAATTTGGATCTGTTTTTCTTTACAATCATTGAGTTATAAAAATTGAAATATATTCTGAATATAGCCTCTGTTGACTAGTTATCAAATCATGATTTTTATTTTTTGCAACATCATATTTTACATCTTGAAACACAATCATAAGCTACGCGTGTATCAATTAGCTTTTCCCTGTTTTTTCCAGTAGCTGTCGTCGTTTTTCCATTCTATACTATCTTCCCAGGTGAGGTATTTCTCTTTGGATTTTCTAGAGTCCTCAGAACATCCCAGGTGGTATCACCTGTTAGCTCATAATTTTCGGTTACATATTCTTTGGTGCTGAATCTTTCTCAGTTTTCTGCTGTAAGTTGGAATAATGTGAAATCAACTATTTAGAAGAAAGAACGTGGCAAATGCTCCTGAAATTCTCTCTGTTTCTAGTTTCTTTTTAGCTTTCCTTGCCAGAGATGACCTGTAGTAAAGCTGTTGTCAGTTTCCAGGCAAAATATTTTCCAATATTTCTCCTTTTCTTTAATATTCCCCAATTTCCCGAGAAATAACCCCTCTTCCACTTCAAGTATGACCAGTTTTTGTTGGTCTGTGGTAATGAATAGCACTGTATTGTGGATTGTTGACTCGGGAGCAATATGCCACACGATCCCAAACGAACAGCATTTTTTGTGCATCAATCGCCAGCACTAGGTTATTTTTCACCTCACGCAAATTGAGATGTTTGTGCCCCCACCCCCCTAATAATAATGCGCACCCTCCCCCAGATAATAAATACTTGATTTAGAGAAATAATGAACACACACACACACTTATTGTTGTTCAGAATATCAACATAAAGACTATAATGATAAACTAAAATGAATTCAATAATTATTGAAACTATAATAAATATTGAGGCTTCTTCTTACAAAATGAATAATTCTTGTTTTATAAATAATTTTATCAGTACCAATAAGACAAATTAAAATAATATTGATTATAAAAAATGTACCAAAATTGCGCCACCATCCCCCACAGGTTTGTACCCATGGTAATTGCCTAGTTTGCCTACAGGGAGCATTGGCTCTGAAAGTACGATACAATGGAAGCAGAAAACATTTCTGGTGTCAGACATGAACCATGGAATTTTGTCCATTAAATAACTTGCAGAAAATGGTAAAGTAGTCATTTTTCCCCACAAACTCTACTCATACCACAGCACTCCATATAACGTGCCTCCCTAGAAATTCTCTGCAGTCAGTAAGCTTCTGAAGGTGACACATCACAGGAAGTGTTATGAAAAAATGTTTGTGTGTTAGAAGTTGACAACAGTTCTGTTGCATTCCTTGTGTAGAATCTGTATTAGCTCTCAGTCCTATGCTGTCCATCACAAAGTACTAATGTTTTCAAGTGGAATGATGTGATTAATTATTTCCCCATTTGCAACAATTACTGTGTTGCTAGTCCGAGGAATGCGAGCCTTTTGGGAAAAATAAACACAAGATGTGTAATAACATTAAACAGTTTATTCATTTGTATGAATCTTTTAGACAATAGTCTTGAATGTAGAACTTGGTTGCATCTCTTGAGAGCATGTTTACATTGTAGAGTATAATAAATAAATAACTTGACAAATAAATAGATTCAGTACTGTTGTATTCTCATTCTAAGTATACTCTATCATCAAACCCAACACACATAGTCATTCATTCTTACATCATCATGCATGAAAATCCTTTTTCTGCTCAACACTCAATATTAAGCTTTACTTGAGAAATTAATACAATTTTTAAATCATAAGTCAATCTTGATAAGCAAAACAGTAAAGCAACTTCTGAGCAACAATAATTGGTGCAGCATGTTGGTTGAGTATGTGACTCACTGGTAACAACAGTATAACAACGTGGGAAATTATTTAGATTTCTCTTACAAAATATTCTACATGTTACTGATCATACTGCATATGAGCAACAGTCTTAAAAGAGCCCTGATTTATAATTTCATATCTTTATTCAATGTCATCTCTCTAGACGAAAAATACCAATTTTATTGACTGTAAAAAATTGTGAAATTGTTATTTCATAATAAATTTTTAATTTGAACAAGGTGAAATTATATTAATTTCCTGTTTTTTCTCTGATTGGTCAACCTTTCATCCCTGTATCAGTGATCTATGAAGCCACATGTGCAGCTTGCAAATACATTGGAATCTTTGTGAACTGTAAGAATATATAGGTAAACAGATATCCCGCTTCTAAATTCATTATTTTGTTGTAGATTGGACATACCATAGAAATTTGTAGGAGTATACATGTTAACATATCTATCGTCAATACAAACATTTTATTTTAATTGGTAAAAAATACTGCTGCTTCACTCTTGGCTTCAGCTCAGCATGCAGCAGTGTATTAACATTTTCATTCCACGTGGTTTATAGATTCTGTTTCTGCAATATATTTGTAGAACACTAGAGAATAGGCTTTTCATTAACAATAAAATTCCTAATTGTGGTACTACATGTATATTACAAAGATATGTGCTTGTTAGCTTCGTGACCATCTTCATCTTTGCGAACTACTCCTTGATATCACCACCACAAATGGTTCCCAATTATTGTGCAAATGTTTTTCACCATGCTTCTGTATATCTCACATCAAATTCTTGCAGTGCTGGCAACTTCTGCTTCAGACGCTCAAATGTGTGGGCAGAAAGTTTAGTACTGTTGAGATTTAACTTGCGAAGGCTAGTCATGGCTGTAAAATGAACAAATGGTCCTTGAGAAATTTGATATATTTTTTCACCCATCAATGATTTAAATCATACCAGAATGAGATTAATAAAAATAATAACAATACAATTCAAAAAACACTTACAAGCAAGTGCTGCAATTCCTTTATCTGAAACTTGTGTTTCGCATAAATTCAGCACCTGGAGCTTGTGCAGGTGCTCGGAGATCATCAGCAGCCCAGAGTCACCAAACTAAACACAAAATCATTCTGTTTGTGTATTTTTGGACCAAAAATAAACTTGATAAATATTAAATCTATACGCTTTTATACATATACTATTTACTCTGTACATAAAAAGTAAAAATAATGGCACGATAATAGGCAAATATAAGCAATGGCAGTTGTGCAAATAAAGAGAGATACGAATCAAAGCAATTAACGACAGAACTCAAGCCCAGAATACTTTTCGAAAAGTACAGATATTATTTTTTTTTGTTTGTTTTGAAAAAAAATAATATAGCTGTTAAATTGAAAAGTTGAAGAATTTGCTTCTATACTATTCCACACTTTTTGCATTGGCAAACATGGGCAGTTAGTGAAGCTACATTTACGACCAGAAACTAAGCTAGAGATCATCACATCTGCTCAATGGATCAAGAGAAACTGGGCAAAAAACTGATTGTCAATTTTAAATGTCTTACTTACTGCTTACGCAGTATGAGAAAGTTGTGTTATAATGTTACGGAAAAAAAAACAACAGAAAATCTCTTGACAAAAACCTCTTATTGCTGGGTTCTGATAACAAAAAAGTGGATAAAACGTGTTCGTATATGTCGTATAATAATTGTGTAATAGTCAGAATTCATGTTTAGTGGATCCTTGACAGAAAAATTGAATGACGGCAAAACAATGGTCTGTCCGTCCGTCTCAGTAATCAATGCTAGCAGCTAAACCATAAGTACAATTTTCATAAAACTGATATTCCCTAATCGATCTGACTGATCCCTTGAATTTGAAATGGATGTTTTGAGGGTACTTTACATAAAGCCTCAACATCTTAAATATTTTCTCAAAAACGACTTCACAAACCAGTGTTTTGTCATTTTTAGCTATGAAAAAATATTAAAGGCAACATACTTCTTTTCATAGCAATTAGCACAATTGGATTTGATTTATGCTTCTAGTAACCTCATAACCTTCATTAAGTAGCTATCTCTATTTACAGCTGATTTTTGCCGGATCCATTGGTGACCCCTTAAGACAGTTTTCAATGTATATTGCTCTGCTAAGAGAAAGAACAAGTCTTTTTATGGCAAGGGTTGTTGTTAAGTCAGGAAAGTCAAGTTTTCATCTCTGTACTGCCATCATCATAAAAGCACCCTTTTCTGTGATTTTCAAAAATAGTCTGAATATCTAAGAAAATGAAGGCATTATCTAAGAATATTGCTTATTGTCACCTTTGCAGCTTACTATCATCAAGCTTGACAGGGAAAGACATTGTTAAAACATTAAACCCAAATGACTAGCCTAAATCCGTAAATATAAGATAATCCCACATTTTTTTAATGAGGTATTTAGGAAATACCTTGTCTGATATTAACATAAATATAGTATTTAATTTGGTATCACTACAAAACTTGATTTTAAGGAGGATCTTAAAAATCAGCGGATAAACATTCAAGAGTTATTTATGTTAGTATTATGAACCATTACTAACTTTTTGTTAGGAATAGTATATTCTATTTATATTTATTCATTTATTATTTTATTTTCTTTTTTATTATTATTTTGTTCATTTTTTACTGTGGTACCCTTCATTTATTTTTGTAATTAAAGAAGAGAGCAAATAGCATAATTATATGAATTTTGAGTTGTGAGAGTACTTTTCTAACTGGTGATCCAATCACATGTAGAGCTTACCTGTGTGGCCCACAAGTTGAGGTAGCGAAGAGAAGGCAACTTTATGAGCTGTTCTGCACAGGCACTGGTGACATGTGTGAAAGCCAAGCTCAGGCACTCTAAGTTTCCAAAGGAACCACAACTCAAAAGTCGAGCAATGTCTGCATCTGTTGACCTGCTGGGAAGGGTGAGTTTACGAGGCCCACCTTTCTGCTGCTGCTGGAGAAAGTTTTTATAAGCACTAAATATGCAAAATTATGTACTCAAGAGCAAAATGCCATTTCAATTTAAAATCAATGATAATAACAAATTCTTCATATTTTATCGCAGACTATTGTACATTTCCTATAACACTTATATTTTAAGTAGCAGAATTTTAAAAAAAAATACATGAAAGAATGTGCTGCTACTTCATGACTTGTTAATCTACACTAAACAAAAAGGAAACTTTAAGACAAAGTACAGATTGGAGTAATAAACTTTGATATCCAAATCAGTCAGTAAATGTAAACAATTGCTATATCTTGAGTTTCTTTATTACTTCTGCCAAAGTATCATCACTATAAATTATTTGACTTCTTTAAGGTTAAGAATACAACAAAAATTGCAAAGTGTGAAATAACCAAGTTCCACACATTACTTTCACAATACTGCATGGAAAAGGAAGGACGTTTGCAGTATTTACCCAAATATAAGAGAGCTTATCACCCCAAACAAATCGTTTGAAAAACTAGTGGTGTTACTACAGCTCACCTATTCTCACATTATTTGTAATGATTATAAAATATTATACTACTACATGAACTAACTTACTACTACAACGGAACACCGGTCCATTGAGTTAACTGGCCTTGCAATTTACTACTTCACCAAGCAGCCGCTCTGATATATTCACTTGGGCTGTTGCTTAAACATCTAATTCTCTCTCTCATTATTACCAACACACAGTTGTCGAAAGTTCAATGAAAATTAGACCTGTGCCATTCTTTTAAATCTTCCATCTTTAACTATGGAAAATAATTTGCCTTATTTTCAAGCAAATTACACAAAAACCACTCGCTGTTTTTTTAATGTACATGACCTCTTTTAAAGAGCTGAGTAAATAGAAGAGATATTCTTGAAATCAAGCACTTCTATGTTCAATATTGTGGTTTTAAAAAGTTAAATTTTTGCAATTTGTTAAAAAAACAAAGTGTGTTTTCTGGAAATAAGAGTAATTATAGTCATATTTACCATCCTTTACAAGGAGAAATTTAAAAAGAATATTTGGTACCGTTTCTGAGAAAAAAATGTTTAAAAATGGTCTATGTTTAACGCAAACTTAATCTAAAGTTACTCATATTTTTGAAAAATTGTACATGCCCATATTTCAAGATCTGTCTTTGGAAAACAGATTTTACAAAAAAAAACAAAAAAAATATATCTTCAATATAGTAATTATAGGAATATGCTGAAAAAATGAACTTTTGTAATTTTTGAAAAATCAGGTATTTTAATGAAAATGTAACCTGCACTATTCTCTTAAACATCTTTGACGCTATCCACATATGAAGTTTAATCTTTGGATCCAACAATCTTTAATATTTGGAGCTATTTTTGAGAAAATTTTGAAAATGTTTTTGAGGCTTCATGTAAAGAAATGCCAAAATTAAAATATCAGAGGGCTAAACTTCAGTTAAATTGATTGGGGAATATCAATTTCGGACAGAATCGGTAGAATGGGTTAAGTGCCAGCGTCTACCCGGACGGATTTAATTTCCTTTCAAACTTCCAAGTAATTAATAAAGCAGTAGCCCTTAAGACATAAAGGCTAGTTCACACAGTTTGAAGAGCAATTAAATTATTTTTTGTAATTAATTAACAATTTTATCATTATTCTTTAATATGACGTAAAGTTCATTTTGGGGTATTTTTTTGTTTTCACAAAAATTACACAAATGTAAATTTTTTGAAAGATCTCTCACACTGTTGATATGCTCCTTTCCAGCAATTTGTAAACACTATTGTATTTGTGAGTTGAAGTACTTAAAATGACTTCAAATGAAGTTTATAGAAAACTCAAAACTTTTCTGTGAAAAAGATTTCAAAATTACAGTAGCGCTTAAATGCCAGTTTTTTAAAAATTGCTCCAAATTTTTCAAAGAAAATTGCCATTTATGACAAAGTTTTATTGTTATTTAATAATATTAATATTATATTATAATAATATATAATATTAATAATATACAATAATACAAATTCAGTGATGAACTGCAACATTTAAACATTATTACATAACTCTCAAAGATTTATATAAATGCTAGTAAAAATTATTTGGTGAGAAAAATGGGCATTAAATTTGGAAAAACTTTCATTGAGCAACTTGGATGAATATTATCTTTAGTAATTCATCTACCTTTAATGCTCCAAGTTCAGCGAGTCAAAATATTGGTTTTCTTCATTTATAGTTATAAATTTCCTTACCGAGTAATTCTTTTTGAATTTCAAATTATTGAGGGTCATTTAATGATTTTTGAACATTGCTGCCAACACACAATTCTTAATATTGTGTATTATAACAAGAAAGTAAAGTATTATCGAAAAAGTCACTATTCAGATTATCGAGATAATTTGAACTGTGACTTTTTAACATAGAAAATCTGTTCAAATTTGCTTTTGCATTCTCAGCCTTGATCAGGTCAATGAATTTATATTGTTGAAATGTTTTCCAATGAAATTAAAATAAATTCCTAACTCAAGATATGGCTAAGTTTTAGTTTCAACTACATGATCATTAAAGTAAAGTCATTACTCCTTCAAATTTTAATTGTGCTCTTTTGGCATATGAATATGTTTAATGTTATGCAAGGACATAACTTTTTTAACACTATATGAAATGTACCTCAAACTACAAGATATGAACAGAGTCTTAAAATTTCAAACCCACCAGTTCTTTAAGATGCATTTGTCTTCGACACAAGGCAGCATAATGCTCTCGACCTGAAGCTGTACTCCGAAGGGTGGTGACCACCTGCATTTTCTGATCTTCCTGGGTCAGTAATTCCCACTCTAACATTAGGCACAAAGCCTCTTGGGCCACAGTGTGATCCCGTAAGGCTAATAGGAGACACGCCCCAAGCCGCTTTGCCAGTTGCACAAGAAATCTCTTGCGTCGACAACAGCAGTGAAGCAAAATTTCCAGCTGTAGAAAATAACAGTTATGGTCAAAAACCAATTATTATTATTAAAGGATAAGAGAGTTAAATTTGTAAATTAATAAAAATATTCAATAGTGAGAAACAGATGTCATTAGACTGGATTTGTAATTTAAACAAAACTACCAATTCAATTTTTTATAAGAACTACAAGAGCACAAAAAATATCTAACAAGCAAATGTTCCTTCATAGCCAATGATAGATACAGTTTTATTATCACTCACCATTGAACACCAAAGTTCCCCTTCATCAACACAAGCCAAACTGGAAGGGCAGTATACATGAAACCAGCCTTCTTTGCCTTCACGAATACCTAAGACTAATTGGTGAACTTCGCATCGTGAATCTTTTCCAATACGCTCCATGACTGGCATAAAACTCCTAGAATATTCACAACACAGTTCTTATTGTATTTAAATTTTAAATAATTCTAATCTATTTAATGAAATGTAATTTATGTAAAACTTATGATATAATAGGTAAGTGAGCATCTTTACATTGTGTAATTTCAGTTCATTTTAACACCCATCCATCTGCTCGTAACCTCCTTTTAACACATACACAAATATTCCTTTGATTCTTATCTAATCCTCCCTTACACCCCTTCATTCCTGCTTATTTTATTTGATTTGCTTTCATATTGTCATTGATGTTTAACATATTCAAAATTAATACTAGATTAAACCTAATTAAAATTAATCAGTTATTAATTATTAAAATTTAGCAAAACTTTTAATGTTTCCATTACATAAATTGAAGATCTTATAAAAAGCCAGCCCTTACCCCTTTGTAACAATGCATAATGTGTCTAAACATTTCTCCAACCCATATTCAAACAAAATACAATTTAAAGATGCTCTCAGATCAGAAATGCTTTCTTATGTATACAACAACCAAGTTGTACATGTAACTAATAAACAAGGCTTATAAATCTACTGAAAACACAGCCATTTGCATTCAATTGAAATTTCTTCAAAGAACAAAGACAAGGTATGGCGCAACATTCAAAAACAGAAAAGTTTAAAACTAAATACTTAAGAAGGGTTGATCAGTCAAATCTTGTAAGATAAAGGTTATTTCTTGTTTTCTATTTGAGTTGCTTACCGAATGAAAGGCTCATGAGCAAGAGCGTCATCAGGAAAGGGAATAGGCTGGAGAAGCTGAGCAAGACCAGGTCGCCAGTCATCGTACTCAGAACTGTAACAAAGATTTTTTTCAACTAAATCCAGCATTCTGAAGCAAAATCACATTTATAAATTACACTCCAAATGGCATAAAATAATTTTATTTGAAATAGATATTTGTTAAATATACTTTAGAGTGAATAAAAGAATTTCACATTATTATTAAAAACATTGAATTAAGGAAGCAGTACTTTTAAAAATTATAGAAATTGATTATACTTTTGAATTCATATTAAGAACACCAAAATTATTATTTGAACTTCAATATTATAAATAAAATATAATGCAAGTAAAATTCTTGGTTTTGCAAGTACCCCAAAGTGATAAAATTAGAGACTACCTTGCAAGAATCCACAGCACATATTTAGGACATTAAAATGTATACCAGATTAGTTTTATGCTATCTTTTAAAACATTTGTAGGAAAAATGTCAAAAACTCTATGTGATTAAACGTTTAAGTCTTAGGTTAATTTTCTTTTCAATAAAAAAACTGTTTGAGAAGCATCAGGTACTATAATAAATAACAATAATGATAGAAACTATAAAGAAAATACTATAATTTTTGTCATTTTGAATATTTATAATTTTTAAGTACTGATATCATGCCCATCCTCAGACAGAACCCTTAAACATAAGACTGATCAAGGATATTAAAGTTAGAGAAGATATAAATAAATAGGGATCATATTTTATGCAGTATAAAATCCCAAAATATGCAGTAAAAATGTAATAAATATGCAAAAATAAAAACATAAAATATGCAATAATGCAGTTGAAGTTAGGGATATTACATAAAAACACCACTTTAAAATACCTAAATATCTACTAAAACAAATTATACCTGGAATTTCATTATATTGTGTTATGTTGCAAAAACCAATTTATTGAAATATATTTTTACCAAAATATATTATAATAAAGTAATTAAAAAACAGAAAGAAGATTTATATAAGCTTTTTATAATTTATTCAATCCCATTCAATTTATTAAATGGGAAGAATCCCTAAAAAATTAGTTACATTTTAGACTTATAAAATAAAACACAACAAAATAAAAAATTTTACATTATAAAATAAATTTATATTAACTAACAAATACATTTTAAGATTTTCTAGCTTAAATCTATGATAGTAACTTGTGACATTGTTGTAAATTGAAAATGAGTATTCCATGTCCAAGCTAGACATGGGTTTAAATTTAAAACTTCTCAAAATCGATGTTCAAAGAATATGATTTAGCAAGCTCCTCTTACAGTTCAATAGGAAGCATGGTTGTGATTAAACTCAATTCTTTGATTATCTTAGCCATTTAATCTTTCCTTTGCTTCACAGGGTATAGTTTTCAAGAGAATAAAAGAAGAAACAGAAATTAATACAAAAGAGGTTGTAATCGGAGAAACTTGAATATCTCCATTAACAGAGTTCCTTCATTAGAAAAACAATTACAATTAGGGAAATAATCTTATCCTTGAAATTAACAATTTTGTGCATTATTAAATGTAAAATATGCAACATAACTTAGCGTAACCCAGAAATATTAAGCAATTAGTATGTGAATGAACTACACACCTTAAATATGCAAATAAGGCTTTAAAATAAGTATCTAGGGGCTCTGATTTGGATAGAAAACTGATCTTGGGGCTTCTACGACTTAGCAGAAGAAATATATATTTGCATAAAGATTCATTCCTTCATAATAAATAAATTGAAGATATGTACTTACACAGTGAGAAGCACACTGAGATAACACTGTAGCTGACAATCTGCATGTTCCAAAACTAGGCCTTGAGTTTCATTACGTGCTTCAATTGAACGTCGCTCCTCAAAACTCGAGAACACTGCTGCCAAGCATACAGCAACAAGATTTGGCAGAACCCGTGGATGAGGACAGCTGCTTCCAGGCCCATGAATACTAAAACAAAATTCACATTCATTTTCAAAATTTTTGGAAATTGTATCTCAGGATCATCTTAATATTGAAAATTATTTTTTAAGTCAATGAGAATAAAAAGTTTCCTTTCTACATACCTTGCCACAAACCGGCGGAGGACTTCATCTCCTCCATTCTGCATATGAAGGGCACAGATGTAGTCTTGGACCAGCCTCCGCATGTGTGGAAATTTGCCGAAATCCTATTAGAAAATGCATGGTAAGTATGAGAGATGATTACAACAAATATCTTCAGAGGGGAAAAAAAGATTTAAAATGCACGGACAATGACAATTGAATATTTAGAAACCCCCTCTTTTCTTCTTCTTTTTTTTTTTCTCCCTCCTTTCTTTTCCCCGTTCCAAGTCATAAGCTGCCTGTTGTATGTATGAATCAACAAAAGAGAAAGAAACTACTTTTATAGCAATGATAAGCAACCTGCAGGCCTTCATAGTGGATGGAATACTTTTTCAAAAATGTTTCATTTCTCTTAAAATTTCTTAGAAAAAGACTACAATTCAAAGAAGATCTATTAAACCATTAAAAAATTAAAGAAAATAATTATGTAAAATTATGTAATTTCAAAAGTTAATATTTGAAAGTTTCAGCTAAGAATTTTGACAACTAAAATGTTTTACTGAGAAGAGGGAACAAAACCAAAAAAAAAGCAACAAAAATGTAATTCACTCTCAAAAACGTTGCATCATTGGTTGGAGGACCTGTCATACATTCTGGGTAAGTGGTGGCAGGGACGTGCAGAGGGTGGGGCAGCTGGGGCAACTTGCCCCAGATCCTTAATTAAGTGGGGTCCCAACAATTTATACAAAATGTATTTCTCTCAAAACATTTTTTTTTACTTAACTATAATTGAAATACAATTCACTTTAAAATATATTAACAATTAATAATCATAATAAATAAAGGGAACTGTTGTTGGAAATGCCGGCCCCCAAGGATATACTGCCCCAGGTCCCCGTGAGAATACTTTCAAACTTTGCCTTTCATGTTGTTTAATTTAAACAGTTGGTTTCGAAATGCCAGCTCACTTAAACAAATGTTTCAATATGTGGTCAGAGAACATAAATATATATTTATTTATCATCAGACAGTTTTAACTAGGTTTTACAGTAAAAACTGTACGTGATGTACAGGGGAGAGGTATCATCCGCACACATTTTGTAAAGCTCCAGAAGCCCTTCCTAACAAATTTAACTACAAAGAGTTGAATGATGAATGATCAATAAACAAAATAACAATAATAGCCATAGTGAACAATTATAGCGAAAATAGGGCGCATAGTGAAGCAACATTTACATTCAGCAGCGAAGTGAAGAAAAGTAGAAAATACTTATCAGGGCTCGGATTCTGATGACATGTCATCTCTTCATTGGTGAATTCCAGACCAGCGACGGGTCCAGAGTCGAATTTTGAAATAGGAAATTAAAAATGTTTTCGTCGAATATGTCATATTACAGATTTTATAAAATGTCGCAGACCACATTCGGCTCGTGCTGCGACACGATTTTACGCGTTTTGATGATAATCCGAAAATATTTTTCTTGTAAGTCTCGTGACAAGTTAAAATTAAAAGTTATTGAAACATTTTAGAGGGGGGAGGGGATTTCCTTCATTTCCCTCCCCGTGGATCCGTGCCTGTAGAGTAGCTTAACTTGTAAATGAATGCTTATCACGACATATGAGTGAGAGAAATGTGCAGTTATTGGATATTTTTGCCGTTTTTTTTTTTATTATTTTTATTTTACGGCATTTTTTTACCTTTGCATCATTTTTGTAATTTTTACGTATTTTGTTTACTTTTCGTGTTTTTTGTTACTAAATGTTTCATGAATTTACAATGATACACTTAATGAAAGTTTTTATTGTATCAACAGTTCATGACGAAATTCACTGTTGCAGTGGGCTCTGATTTGCAAACTCTCAGATTACATTTGCTCCGAATATAAAGAATTTGTATTAAATATAATTTTATATAAATAAATTGTATTAAAATTGTAAGATTCTTTGAGTAAATAAATAAATTCAAACGTTTTTTAATGAGGTCATTTTCCCGTTATTTGTAAGTCATTTTAAAGATAATTTCCTCTTATTTCTAAGTCATCTTACGGGTCATTTTCGAAGAATTTTTACGTCATCAGTAGGGGCGGATTTTGATAACCTAAAACATTGCCAAAAATGATCAATAAAATTCTCTTAAAATGTTTTAAATATGCCATACAAGCAAAGAAAAATGACGTAATAAATGTGATCAAAACCAGTTCGGAGAAACAACTCAAGCTACTGGATGCGTTACTGATGTAATCAAGGCTCCCTCTATTCGTTTCAGTGAACTCTGCTTTCAATCTTTCGGTTTGGACTGTTCTTTACCAGGAAAAGTCTCTTTTTAGTAATCCCGAAATCGGCTGAACAAACAATGGCGCTGATAGGCGTCACAGGAATCTTAGATTACATTGTTGTCACAACTGCTGACATTACAATTTCTGAGAGAAGAAACCGACTAGGCTACTCAGGAATTATATGGAGAACCTTTGATGCGTCTCGTTAATATTGTCTGAAGCAAAAACCATTAAAATGATATTAAAATCAATGAAATGCGAAAAATGCATTAAAATGACGAGGAAAGGTAAGAAAAATACTTATTAGACGAAATCTTCAACAATTAACAAAATAATTACATATAAAAAGGTATAATTTCCTTATTGAGTTGAATTGAAATTGAGTTACTAGCACATTATAAAGCTTCAAATATTCTTGTAGTGTAGCATGTTATTCAAACCCAGTATGGACGCATATGCAAGTGTACAACGTTTAAAGTTTAACAAATATACTGAGTTACATAAGGAAAGTATAAGTAAAACTCTCAGTATCTGAGAACTATGTTAATGTGGGATAGCCCATTGTTCTACCGGGCCCTTCAAATGAATGGTTTATTTCAGAAAGCCGTCAAAACTCCAAAATGTAGAACTCGCATCAGCGACGGATTATTGTTCCAAGAGGATTGAAACATTGAGCATCGTTTAGTGCATATTTAAAAGAAAAACTGTGTTAATAAAGAAAAAAAAATGAAATCTGAAAAATTGGGAGACTTTTTCTCAGTTTTCACGTAATGAGGAATTTGGCGTTTGACGGGTTTCGAAAATAAACGATTCATGTCTAGGTGCGGTACCGAGACGAAGAAGGCAAATAAATACCTCCGGGCAAAAATGTTGTGACATGCAAAAATAATTTGCCTTAGCAGCTTCCTTGAAACTGATTGCAACCCTAATATCAATGGAAATAGCTTATTTCTTTAAATTAAATAACGTTAAGTAATTAACGTTACGTTGAGTTAGCCACACCGAAAAAAAAAATCGTTGGAGTATACCAGATCCATGATACTGTAACAAGGAAACTTGTTACAGTATCATGATCTGGTACACTCCAACGTTGTTGTTGTTGTTGTTGTTGTTGTTGTT